TATATGAATTGTTAGAAAAACAAAGTCCCCACAGAAGCTGTTAATTTTATTGTCATCCAGCCTGGCAATGCAGAGAGACAGTAAAGCCCCAGACACAGGCAAACAAAATCCTGGCTTCCAGCTTGGATCTGTTTGCAGAACTGAGGCCCTGCAACCCGATCTTCTGGAAGATATCAGCAAATCCAGCTCGCTTTCTCATGGGAAAAAAAAAGTGTTTTCACACAACTTGCACAAACGCACTGCGCTGAGATCTGAGATTTTCTTTTTGAGGGTCAGAAAACATCTTACAGCTGTGCATTTCCTCCCTCTTGTCTCCCCCTAGCAAGAGAAATCATCTATATGCCTCTCCTGAAGCAGCCTGGCTGCAGAACAACAAAAACCCCTCTCTGGGTAACATGGCTGCAGGCAAGCAGCTCTGGACATAGGACAGGGCTGGCCTGGGGGCTGCAGGCATGCAGGAGGGCCGCCGTGCCTCTCCTCAGTGGGCAACTGAGCCTGCAGCACGGGTTCTTCACCCAGGAAGCCTGGCTTGGTTTCGTTTTCGTTATTCTTCCAAGCTTCCCTCTCCCCGCCCAGCAGCCCTTTCCCTCACAAATCCAAAAACGGGCCTCGAAAGCGAGCAGTAGCGGGCAAACCCCCGCGCCCAAGATGGCCGCCCGCTCCTGACATGCCGCTTCCCTCACTCAAGATGGCGGAAAGGCTGAGCGGCTGCGGGGACGAAGCCGAGGGCGGCCATGTTGCTTTCGGGCAGGCGGGCAGGACCATTGCGGCGAAACAGCGGGGGGAAGGTGGTTTCTCCCAGAGGCGGTGCGAGAGCAGCGCGGCAGCCGCGACCCTCGCGTGGGGCACGGTAGGGTAAAGGCTGCGGCGAGCCAGGCCGGGACCTAGGGGTCGGTGAGGGCAATTGGACGCGCGGCCCGCCGGGGATTGCCGCGAGGGAGGGCCCGGAGCTGGCTGGGCCGCGGGCCGGGCTCGACGCCTCGTGAGGGAGCGTGGCGGAGGCGAGGCCTGGGCGCCGCGGCGAAGCTTGATATGTCCCGAGGTGTCCCAGCCCTACGGCCTGGGTGGGTGGCCTCGATTTTCTCACAGAAAGAGCGATTTGAATTGATTTCTGGCTGTGACAGGTGTGGTGTGGGTGTTGTCGCTGCTCTGACAGCTTGCTAGACCCGGTGTGGGAATTTGTGTGAATAAACTTGATTTTCCAGGTGGTTAATGCAGGTGAGTAATTCCAGCACTTATTTATGCCCTCTTCATGTTCTTTTTCTCTTACGGTAGTTAATTATCTTCCTGTCATTCACATTTTATCATCACAGTCACTCTCAAAATGCTGTCTGACTTGATGGGGGATTGGGGGAGGGGAAGACAAAAAGTCTACCCACCTTCATCTTACTCGGGAAAGTTTTAGACAAGGCATTCAGGAGTAAACCTATGCTCTCATGCTGTACCAGCACTTTACAGAGGTATTTGGACAGCTTCTGCGAAGAGCAGCTGGTCAGAGGAGGTCTCCTTTTCTTCTGTCAGTAGGTAAAGGGGTTCCTATATGCAAGCAGCTGTCAAGATTGTAAAGGATCCCTCCCTGGCAAGATAAGTTAGGGAATAAGTTTCTCTTCCCTAATTAGAAATTTAGGATTTCATTTAAAAGACCTGGGGAGACTCAAGCAACTGAAGATTATGTGTACTTTGCAAAAAACAGAGCATGAAATAAATTGAGTGGCATGCTTATCGAAAATTGTGCCTTTAGACCTTTCTTGTATTCTTTGTCCCCAGACAGATGGGGATGCTGTTACTGTCTTCACTTCTGATGAGCTGTACAGTATCACATCAGTTAAGGCCCTGGCCCATAAAAATCTCCAAGTAGAGGTAAACAGTGAAAGCCAAGAAACAATTCTGTTTTAGAAACATTTACTGTTGCTCTTACTGGCGCAGTTTTCCTTTAATTTCATTTAATTCATAAAGAAGTTATGAATTTAATTAGGGAGATACTGTTGAATGCATCATTGTAACATTAAAAAGAAGAGGGGCACGGAAAAAAACACTGATCTCTTCTTGTGGATTAGAAGCCATTACTAGGCTTTGATTTTGAAAACAGCTGGACTTATTCTAACGGCATTATTAGGTACTGTGATTAAAGAGAAATATGCTTTGGCTTTTGCAGTGGTTCTTCTAGTCTAATTTTCTGGAAGTCTTGCATCCATCCAAATTCTTTGAGTTCCCAGAAGTCAGTGTCTGAAGCTAGCAACTTGCTGCCTGATCTCAGAAGTAGCTCCAAGGTAAAGCAGGATGATATTCATTAGGGCTGTTAGCTTCTTTTGCCTCCTCGTTTTTGCTGCTGGTTTCGTGAGCCAGGAGCAGTTTTGTGTTCTGCCACTCTGCAGGGTTAAGGTTACATACATAAGGCATATAAGTTCTGCAGGAAAGAGAAGTGCCAATTGTTCTGAGATTTGGGCTGGCTAAAGCAAAAGGGATTGGGGAAGCTTGCTTTAGTGATGTGGCTAGGAGCCAAAATTAGGATTATGAATACTGAGATGTCTTGTGTTTGTATGTGGAGGGACCAGATTAAGCCTTGCATTAATAATTACGTTACCATTATTTTTTCTATTTGATTGCTGGCTGTTATTTCAAGTCAACATTAACTCAAAATGCATAAAATGCATCTCTCCCTTTGATTAAATAAGGGAATGATTTACCACAGTTCTGTCACCCTTGTTCTTATTGCTTTGGGTGGGAATGCCTCGTAAATATTCTCTTGTCAATAAGCTTTAATGACATATAAACAGTAGAGGCTTTCTTACCACACAAAGGAAAGCAACATGTTTAAAAACTCTCTACTGTCAAGTTTTCAGGAAAAGAAAAAATAATAAGAAAGCAACTTAGACAGTGTTTCAATACAGTTGCAGTGACATTCTTATCTCATCTCATGAAAGTAAAATGTGAGAAAACAAATTATTCAACACTGCTTGAGAAAACTCAAGTTAAGTTTCCTGTCCAAGCAGTAACAAAAAGCAGTCTCGTTTTCTTCTGAAGAAGCAAAAAGGTGAGAATTGATTTATTTGTGGTATTTTTTTCATTAGAAAGACATTTCAGTGAACAGTTCCCAGCCTGATTTAATCTAGAACCAGATGAACTGACGAGATCATGTTGGAACAAACCTCTCTGTTTGGCTCTGTATCAGATCTAAGTGTTAGCTGAGTTCACATGTGAGCTTGTACTGAGAATTTATCTCAGATGGGGATCTTAAAAAGGAGGAGGAGAAAATTAGCACATGCTCTGCTCATTGATTTCCTTAAGCTTTACTGATCACTGAGCTTCTCAGTACTGTCAGCTCTGCTCGGACGTGAGGAATGATGTACTGGAAAACACTGAGAAGGGCAAGTCAGGGAACAGATTAGATGGTAGTTCTTGTGACTTTGTGGTCTAAGTATAGGCATTAGCCTCTGGATCTGCGTTTCTTCCTGCAGCTTGCAAGCACTCCTTGTTCCTTTTGCAGGGTAAATATTTAGTAGTAGCAATAGTATTTCAGCAGGTTGCAAAAATCGTGGTCAACACAGGGTGCAAAACAGTGCTGAATGCATTCACTAAGACTGTCCTCACTGTTCAGCATTCATAAGACAGAGAAAGTGTTAATTAGATGTTTGGAGGAATCTGGATATAAGTAGTCCTTTTCTGATATAATGTAGTTGATGCTATGTTGTGCATCCCTCCACAACTTCCAGTTTCAGTGGTCTCTTTCAGCACCTGTTTTGTCTTTACTCATTCTTTTGGCTGCTTCTCCAAAGTATTTGTCTTTTAATAATGTTTGTTTGTTTTCTTTGAGTAAACATCTTTGAACTGGCAGACAGGGGAGGTGGGAAGTTCTGCAGCAGCTGAGCAGGAAGGCTGAGATCCCAAGCAGTCCCACTCATTTGGGTGGGATTTCTCAACAAAAGCTCATAGGAGGGAGGACTCAGGATCAAACTCCTGAGACAGATATTGAGGTATTACAGACATTTAGTGTCTCGTAGAAATCCCCCTTGTTTCCTTGAACGTTACAATACACGTTCCTGTGACTCTTAATGGCACCTGAAACCTGTAAATGCAGTTCTTAAACTGTTATTTGGGATGTCACAAGTTATGAAGCACGCCTTACAGATTAGAAGATGATTATCCTCTGCAGTGCTTGCTGCAGCTTGTAATAGGAAGAGTGTTCTCAAAGCTATCTCTTAAGCTTGCTATTCAAAGCTGTTCTCTCTAGGCTTTGTACTGTATTCAACTTCCTAGTGCTGTATGTTGAAGACACATTTGTCTTCTTAATCAGACAGCTTATATCTGCCAGGGATGTATTTAATGTAATGTCAAACATAATTCAGATGAGGAGTGAAAGCAAGCACAGCAAGCCAACCCTAAGCAGAGTCTTTCAGCAATAGCAAGCTACTTTGTCTGTTTATTTTGGCCTAAGGTTCTTCCCTTGGTGACAGATCTGTTGCAAATGTGCTAAATAACAGGCATTTAGAAACTCTATTGTATCAGGAATATAAGCTTAGAATATCAGATTGTATCAGATCACATATTATAGGAGCATCTAAAGGTTTCAGTCCGGGTGTCAGCAACGTTGCTGTGCTTTATGGGCGAGGGTAAATGAGACTTCTTGTTGCAGAGTTATAGGTGTCGTATAATGGTTGAGATAGGAAAGCCACAGTGCTCTCAGGCATGTGGTTTACTGTAATGATGCGTGGCATCTGTCCCTTGAGCTGATGGGAAAGTGCAAATTGTTCTTTGCGAAATCATCAAGATGTCAGAAAACTTCTGACCTCGCTGTTTGATGACAGAGAAGGAGCAGGCTGTTTGGAAATATTTTCCAAATAAAATACTGCTGCCTCCTCAGAGGAAGAAGAAAAGTATACATTTCCAGATACATAATTTGTCCCTGTACGTTTTCTGCATTTCTTTAAGTGCCTGAGTACAATATAAGCTTTCTAATTCTCTTTTTTAACCGCCAGGTCTGATTGCTTATGTGGAGGGGAGCGAAACAGAAACAAAATTGATTGAGGTCCAGACATTTCTGCCCTGCTTTGGACGAGGAGCTGCCTGTCACAGTGAGTAGAGCCTGGTGTGGGGTTGCCAAAATACAGGCTTTGCTTTAACACCAGCCTGGAAACAACTGGAAGTGACCTGCTGTACTTTGATTCCCCCATTGATACAACAGACATGGGGAAGGTTGCTTATTTTTACTGTGAATTGCTGTGACCTCTGATGTTGAAAAGTGCTTATATGAAGTGTCACGTTATTATGTTACTCGCATTTTGTTACTGTTACCATCTGCACTCCAGAATATTGGCTCTGAAGGATTATCCTAGAGAGTAAATCTTCATCTGTGACCGCAATAAACCATAATCTGTGTTTGCTGATGACAGTTGCACTGACAGAAGTAACCTTGAGGCATTTAGTACATCTTGTAAATTGGGAATTGGGACACAGCACTCCACTGAGCTTTTTATGTAAGTGACTAATGTTGTATGTGAATGAAGAGGTAATTCGTGGAAGAACAAGCATTCAAACATCTGTCTCTTTTTCTGGCAGGATGGAGAAGAAGAAAATTCTAATGAAGTCCAAGGTTGCAGCTCCTAATCTCCTGAGGGCACTGCATTCTCTGTACCAGTTCGGTCATCTCTGTGACGTGACAGTGCACACGCAACATCTAGGAATTCAAGAGGAGTTTCTGGTTCACAAAGCTGTCTTGGCAGCTTCCAGCAATTATTTTAAGGGGCTTTTCCTGCATGATGAGATGCTGGACACCAAGAATTGCACAGTGACTCTGCAAGACATTTACACAGAAGAGTTCACCTCCTTTCTGGAATTCATCTATACTGCAGAAGTGGAGATTGAAGCAGGAAAACTGCAACGAATGAAAGAAATAGCAGAAAGGCTTGAGTGCAAGGACTTGCTTGACATTTGTGAAGAAGTGAGAGCAGAGGGAAAGAAGGGTTTAGATTTGAGCCTCCATCTGAAAGATCAGCTGTGTGAAAATGGTGTGCAACAGTGGCCTCGCATCCAGCAAGAGGACTGCAAACTGAGTAGCTGTTCCCAAGTGGTGGCAGTACCCATGCAGAGGAAGCTCTGGGAGAGGCAAAAGCATAACAAGTTGCTGGCTGGTTGTGAACTCATTGAAGGCCAACCAGCAAATCTGGAGCAAGAGGGCAGTGCTTTTCCACAAGAAAAATCTAGTACAGCAAAGCTACCTAAATGTGACAGAACAGATAACAGAGGCGGACTTGGCATGGATGTCATTGGTCTGGAGCAGAGGAATGCTCACTCTCCCGTGAGTCAGACTGGGTCAAAGGAAGCCTGCGTAGTAGTTAGGGATATGCTGTCTGAGCAGTGGGAAGGTGGAAACAGTTTGATTTCTGATCTTAGCAGTAAAACCAAACGTAAGAGATCACTGCAGCATGTGGCGGAAGTCTTGCCAGAGATTGCATGTGAGAAGTGCAGTGAATCATTCCATGTTATCAAGCAGTACCAGATGCACATGGAGCTCAAGCATGGTGTTAATCTGTCTGTCAAGTACAGCTGTAACATGTGCAAGCAGCTCTTCTCCAGCCACCAGAACCTGAGGCAGCATTGCCTCACTGTTCATAGCGCTGAACAGGGCTTCTCTTGCATGTTTTGTGACAAGAGGTTCAAGCATCAGAAGGACAGAAATGATCATATCCAGAGGGTGCACGAGAAGCAGAGGGACCCGCAGGCATGCCCGTACTGCGACAAGCTCATCAGCTCCAAGTGTGGCCTGACGGTCCACATCCGAACACACACGGGAGAGAAACCTTATAAATGCGAGCGCTGCCCTGCCAGCTTTGCTCAGAGGTCTGCTTACAAGACTCATGTGAGGTACAGCATTCTGTGTTTGTGTGTATGAGCTCTCACTTGTTTGTGAGCAGCAGGGTGGAAGCATTTCTGAAGTCCTAAAAGCTTCACTTGGAGAATTCCTTGGGCTTGATCTGGCGGGTGTTGAAATCTGTACAGATTTTTTTCAGGTTACTTCATCAAATTCTGAGTCTGGATTGAGGTTTCCCAAACTGGGAATTCAGGCAAGCATTTCCTGTTGAATCAAAGAGGTCTTTTGCAGAAGCCTCAGATTTTGATATTAAAATTGGAATCCCAAAAGAATCGGCATCTGTTTGAAATGCATGTGAAAATATCTTTCCTCTTTCTTGAAATATACGTCAGTGCTTTCCTGATTCTTAGTAATATATCCAATAAGTGCTGATACTAATAATTCACTCCAAAGGAAGATTTAGAGTGCTAAATTATATAAAAATACCATCAAGTCAATTAAAAATGTGGTGAAATGGAGAAAGCAGGGAAAGGGCAGTAGCTATACCAGGTAACTGCAGACATATAAAATATTGGAAGTTGTTCTGTGTTGTTCTTCTGCACTTCTGCCCCATGCTTTTCAGAGGACATCTGAGTTGGCACTGTGCTTAATATTTTGGATTATGTTTAGTACTGAGGGTAATGCAGATTAAGTGCATTAATCTCTGAGAAGAAAAATGTTGTGTTTAAACATATTAGCATTTTAGCTGTAGGCTAGGATTGGTAGACTCTTTCATTGTGGGCACGCTTTCTGCTAACTCGTGTTGAATCGTGATTGCAGGGAAACTGGCCATAGGGCCTGCTCTTCTCCAAGGCAGGAGGGCTGTTAGAACCTGGGCTTGTTATTTATTGGTTTTTAAATAATCAAAGGTCCATCAGGAGGACGTTGAGCTGTGTTTGAGTAAGAAAATGCATCTGTTAATTCTCACGTTTCTGTGTTTGTAAGCCAAGTCCATAAGGGGCCTGTAAAAGCTATTCAGTGCATTCACGTGCTTTAAGTTTCTCTCTGCTGTACTGATGTTATTTCTGGCAGATGTGTGTCTGATTTGCTTTTAAAACCTTTGCAGTTCATTTTCCACACCCTGACTAGCGATAAGGAGAATTAACAGTTGCAATAGATGACTTGCAAGGGGCTCTGTTTTGTTTTTCATATATTTAATCTGTATTTTCCTTGGTTTGAGTCCTTCATTTCTTACACTGTCCACTGTTGTTTTGGTGGAAAATATACAGTCTGTGTTTTGGTTGTAGCCAGGTGACAAATATGTATACTTCAGAGACTGTCCTTGATGGGCTCAGATATTTTAGTTTTCTTTAACTGCCTGGTCTAGCTCCATGCAAAATTCCCATTTGGCACTCTAATTATGCTGTGTGTTCTCTAAATGGTGTGAAGAACAGCTAAAAGGAAACAGCTCCTCTAAGATAAACATGCCTGAACTGAAGCAGTTGAACCTATTAAAGTTGTTCCCCATGTTTGTTTGTTTTAACAGAAAAGTCCATGAATCTGGGCGAGAGAGGAAACTTATGCCAGTCTACTGGATGGTAATTCCACCTACTCACAGACCAAATGCAGCAAGCTGTGACAAAGATAGTGACAGGGAGATATGGGATGGGATGCCAGAGGCTGTGCTAGAGAAGGATGCAATGCACAAAGAGTCTGCAAGTCGGGAGGAAGAGCCTGCAAGGCCAGCTGTTACACAGGCAGACTGTAGTGAACTGCAAGAAGAACAGAAGGAGAAACATACGGAAGCTCAAAGAGGAATGGAAACGCTGAGTGAAGAAGGGAATGAAGCTGAAGGTGGGAAGAGTGTGAAGGGAGAGGAAGAGGGAGATTATGAAGCAGAGTATTCAGATGTCGAAGCTACTAGAGTTAACGATGAAGCCTTTACTGAGGAAGATGATGAGGATGATGAGTGCTCCAATGAAAAAGGTGCTGAAGAACGTGAATCAGCTGAAGAATTTAAAATAAAGAAGGTAAATAAAAGTGAGACGAATAAGAAATCAGCCTATGTAATAAGATGCAATGAGTGTAACGAGCAGTTTGTTTCCCGGAAAAAGTATGTGGATCACTGCAGAGATATCCATCAGTGCTTGCCTGGTAAAGTCTACCAGTGTGACATCTGCAGCAAGTCGTTTGCTAGTTACAACAGCTGGAAGGAGCACCGAGCATGCGTCCACACTGACGAAAGGCAGTTTGCCTGCAGCCTTTGCAGTGCTACTTTTAAAAGAAAGAGAGATGTGAGGACGCATTATGTGCGGAAGCACGAAGGCAGAGTGAAACGCCCTCTCTGCTCTGTCTGTGGGAAGATCCTCAGCTCCCAAACAGCGTTAGTGTTTCACATGCGGACGCATACAGGAGAAAAACCTTATGAATGTGGCATTTGTCATTCCAAATTTGCTCAGCCATCACAGCTTAAGATCCATACCAGGTCAGTTTATGGTGCTGCTTCTCCCATTATCGTTTCCCGCGTGCCCCATGTACTTCAGCACTTCTTATTCTTCTCACCTCTCAGTTCTGAGTCATTCTCCCTTGGTGTCTTTATGACAGCAGTGCTGGGATATGATGTGATACGTGGTATCTGTGATTAATTCTTCTGTGTAAAGGCTTTGTCTGCAGCTGGTCATTGCATAAATTTTGGTCGGGATTTTGAAACAGGTGCTGTGTCCAAACTTACAAGCAAATCTAGTCATTTGAAACAGACTTCAAGCCAGTCGCTGAGTTGGGGTCTGGATCCCTGGAGTGCATGTGTGGGGCTGTGGCTGAGCTGCAGGCCAGTGCTGTTCTGATGTAGGTTAGGCAGAGGCTGAGCAGTGCTGCTGAGGTGAAATGGGGCCTCTGGGTCTTTAGAGTGGCAGCAGATCTCAGAAGAGAGAGGTCCTTGTCAGGACCAGTGAGACCTTCTCATGTCAGGGCTGCGGCAGATGCTTAGTTGCTAATCAGGCTTCCTCTTAATTAAAAACAAAAAAGAACCACGCTGTTTACAAAATGCAAGGTCATCTTTCTGTGGAAAATTTTACTCATCTGTAGGTTAGGAAAGCTTTTGGGGTGGTACTTTCTAGCTAGAGCTGTTATTACACAAAATAATTTCTCCTCATGCAGTCTTTCTGATCCATGAGATGAGAAAAGCAAGATGCAATTAATTGCAAAGTGATTTTTTATTCTGTTTATTTGAAGGGTTTACATTTGTTTTTTAACTTGCACTGTAGGATTACGTTAGTAGCTATAGGCATAGGCTGTACTACCCAAGTAAGTTAAGTATGTCCAGGAATGTTTCCAAGCTGTGAAACCAACTAGCTGCTAACAGCCTACACTGTTGCTCTTAAACCTACAGAACAATTGCATGTTCCATAGTGGTGCCTGCCCTTTGCTAACACAGGATCTATTCCCAAGCCAGAAATCGTTTTGAAGATTGCTGTTCAGTGCTGGGATTGTTCTAGTCATTTAACAATTGAGGAGACAAATAGGAATGGCTTGAGTTGCTTTTATGTTATAGGTATAGGGAGGCATTCAGCACTTCTCTGCTTTCCCAGGTCACAGCGCAGCTGCATAGAAACCAAGAGAGCAAAACAGTCAGGCAAGAAACCTTTGAGTGCTCAGAAAATCATTGAAATGCTTGGGAAAATATTGCGTTCCTTCAGCTGACAGAATGTACATACAGTGCTGATGTCAGTTATACTGGTAAAAACTGAAATGAGAACGATGCAGTAATGCTGAAATGGCAACCAGATCTACAGGCAGACATTCCTGTCCACAGGTTTTAACAGGCATAGCCCTTAAATAACCGCTTAGCTCGATGTGATCTGAAGTGTGCCTCCTCAGAGCTCAGGTTCTACATTTGAACAGTTCAGACACGTGCAGTACAGCAGCATCCATACTCTTTTTCAAGGACTCATTATTAAGATATGCTCGTGTCCCTTTGGGCATGCTCAGTGGTATCTAGGGCAGTCCAGTGCCCACCTACTTCTTTCTCATTTTCCACCATCAGCTTCACTACTGAGACGTTGGACTATCAGCTGCTTTTCCCCAATTTGGGAAATTTCCATTGCTTATTTGACCCTAGTGAGCAACTTTGAAAGCCACATAAGTGGAATCTGACAAAGATGTCCTTGCGCCTGCTGGGTGCAAAAGGTGGAAGTATTCTACTGGGACTCCCGTGCTTCTTGTGAGGCAAAATAATGGAGGCAGAAGATAAAAATGTTCTGTTATGCCCCCAGTGCAGAATTACTGGGGCAAACAAAACTATTCACCTACTGAAGTTGAAATGGCAAGTGTTAGAGCTGTCCCTCATAGATTGCTTTTGCTAAATTAATGTAATGGTTCTTAAGCTAACATACGAATCCCTATTGGTAAACAACCGGTGTCACATATAGAAAAAAGCTAAGCAGAAAGTGAGTAGGATTTACAGGAGAATTACTGACATAAAAGCTTCCAGGTCTATCTTTGTAATGGAGTGCTTAGTTTAGATTGTCTGTGTGCTGACAGAGTGTGAGTTGAACTTGGAGGGGAAGAACAGGAGGAGCTGGACTGCGCTGAGAACAAAAGTAACTGAAGTGTGATGTAGTGTAACAGTGTGTCTGAGAGTAGAAAGGACAAGGCAAGCACGTAGGGGTTACTTTTCCTTACTAGTAAGGATTGGTAAAGACTATCAATTGTGTTTCATGTGTAGGAGAGACAGTGTAATTGGAATGAGTGAAAAGAAGGGTTTAAAGGAGTTTGTCTCACTGGGAGAGTACAAGCTCCTTAGGATGCCAAAGTAAGAACTTAGGAGTACAGGGACAGTCAGTGGATGTTTTAAAATGAGAAATATCATGGAGAGTGAGGATCGCTGTTGGGTAACAAACGGTGTTGGCAGAGGAACGAATAAAACCTATGGTGCCTATATAGTTGTAGGGAATTTTGTTTTCTTTTTGTATGTGGAGGATGACTAGCTAATTGGATTAACAATAGCAGTAGGTTTCTGACAGACTAGCAACTGGCATTTTGGCCCCGAAAGAGCTTTTTAGTGATATATTCCTACTAATTTGTATGAACAGGAAGTGACATGCCACGAAGGGGAATGGCATACAGTGTTTCCATACAGTCCTACCTATAGACAAGAGCATTGCAGCAGTATTTGGGATAGTAAGCAAGATACTTGAATAATCCCTTTCCCTTTTTCAGTTAATTATCGTTGAATAATTTATATACAGAAATAAAGCTGTGTGGAAGATGGCCTTTTATTCAGCAAACGCAAAGTTTAATTATTATGAATTTCTGTGTAGTTAGAACTGCCAGTAGTAATGAAAATATAGTTAAAATTGCTGCTTCTTATCAGCAAAAGAAAGGGTCAGAAGCTGTTCTGCTTACCTTTCCTCTACTTGTCTTTCACTCCTGCCACTTGAATAACATTATCCTCCAACACTGCAAACCCCTTTGTGGACCTGATGCGGTCCCCATTTCAGTTTGTCTTGCTGTCCCACTGAGACTGTTTCAATCTGCCCAAGTTGGCAGAACGTTTAACCAACTTTCTTTTATTGCATGGATTCTGAATGTGACTCTCACTCTCAGGGGAGCTGAGTGCAGCTGCCAAAAGTCATTTAATTTGTCGCTTTTAACAACCATCAGAAAAATGGAAGTATGTCTATAGCATGATGAGCTGTATGTCGCATATGGTCGCTATTTGAAAGAACAGCTAAAAAAATCTCAGTATTTGAAAAGAGTAAAGAAGGAAAGTAGATACTAAAGATTTCCATTGTACTGTTTGCTATTTTATAATGGTAGAAAGGTAGCTGAATGGTTTGTATGAAAATCCAGCTCTGCAGAAGCACCAGTAAGATGTTGATGAACGTCAGGTGCTTTCAGGAACACGGACTGAAGCAGTGAAGGAGAGAGGCAGGATGGGTTAGTAAAACTGAAGGGACAGGTGGATACCAATGATGTTTATGTTTTGCATGGCTGTTGTTCTTGTGGTTGCACGTATTGGAATAGCAGATAAAGAGAAGTATATGTTCCTTAGTTCTAGCCCTTCATATTAGAATTTTCAGAATCAGGAGCTAAGAGCTGATAGCAAAATATGTCTGTAAACATTCCCACATTTTAACCTTCTATGGAGGGTTGATACAAAGAGTTTGAAACGCATGAGCTCAGATGAGCTACATAAATCGTGTCATGTATTTTGATTTCTGTTAGAGAGATGAATATAAACCTTCCATTTTCAACAATTTTGCCTGTATGCGTATCTCTGGCGCATATGCAGTCACATTCCACTTCCAAAAAGTCTCTTCAGTACAACGTGTTTTCAGTCATTTCAAATGTGTGCATACACAGGGGGAAGGGAAAGACAGTGGAGTGCTGGAGCAGTCTTGTGAGTGAGCTCTATTCCCTATCCCTGCTGGGAAATATCCAACAAGTTTCAGGATGGATGTAATAAAGGAATTCAATCAGTTACATGACACATTTGTGTAGCGCTAAAGTATGCTATTTTGCCCAGTATGTTTATGATAAGCTGATTGTGGGTAAATGCCTCACAAATAGCAACTCCTGTAGAATTGACGGTAAAATAATCAATATTACTTATGTATAATGTTTATTCATTTGTTGTTCTATAGAAGTAAAAGGCCAGGTCTGAGTACCGCCTCCTCCACCTCATTTCCTGGTTCCTCACTTTTCCCTCTACATCCTTGTCATTTCCTTTTTGCCGCTGTTTTTTTCCTCCTGCTCCTTCTCCTCATTCTTCTTGTCATGCCATCGATGCTTTGTTCCTCCTTATAAATGATCTTCACCTGCACCTTAACGTCCTTGTTAGGTTTTCAATGCTTTTTACCTGCTCCTTGTTTTCCTCCTTTTGTTCCTTCTCCTCCTGAGATTATAGATGTTGCTTTTATCCTCCTCCACCTCCTCCTCCACCATATTTCAAAGATGCTTACTTTTTCCTCATCGACCTCATTTTGTGGTTGCTACTTTTATCCTCCTTCACCACCACCACCTCCACCTCCTCCACCATATTCAAAGATGCTGCCGTTTTTCTCATCGACCTCATTTTGTAGTTTCTACTTTTAACCTCCACCTCCTCCTCCACCACCACCTCCACCTCCACCATATTTCGAAGACATTGGTTTTTTCCTCTTGCTCCTAATTTTTTGTAGCTGTTTTTTCCTCCTCCTCGTCCTCCTAGACCACCACCACCATCACCACCACCACCACCGCCTCCTCCACCTCATTTCCCGGTTCCTGATTGTTCCCTCTACATCCTTGTCATTTCCTTTTTGCTGCTGTTTTTTTTCCTCCTGTTCCTTCTCCTTGTCCTTCTTCTCATGTTATCGCTGCTTTTTTACTCGTTCTCCACAACCTCCAGCTGCACCTTACCCTCCTTCTTTTGTTTGTGCTGCTTCTTATCTGCTCTTCGTCCTCTCCCTTTTGTTCCTTCCCCACCTCAGTTTCCTGTCGTAGCTTTTATCCTCCTCCTCCTCCACCACCACCTCCTCTACCTCCTCCACCATATTCAAAGATGTTGCCTTTTTCCTCATCGACCTCATTTTGTAGTTGCTACTTTTAACCTCCACCTCCTCCTCCTCCTCCAGCACCACCTCCACCTCCACCGTATTTCGAAGACGTTGGTTTTTTCCTCTTGCTCCTAATTTTTTGTCTATGTTTTTTCCTCCTCCTCCTCCTCCTCCTCCTCCTCCTCCTCCGCAACCACCTCCACCTCCTCCACCATAATTCAAAGATGCTTCTTTTTTCCTCATCGACCTCATTTTGTAGTTGCTACTTTTATCCTCCTCCTCCTCCTCCTCCACCACCTCGACCTCATCCACATTTCGAAGATGTTGGTTTTTTCCTCTTGCTCCTAATTTTTTGTATCTGTTTTTTCCTCCTCCTCCTCCTCCTCCACCATATTCAAAGATGCTGCCTTTTTCCTCATCGACCTCATTTTGTAGTTGCTACTTTTATCCTCCTCCTCCACCACCATCACCACCTCCTCCATATTTCGAAGACGTTGGTTTTTTCCTCTTCCACCTAATTTTTTGTAGCTGTTTTTTCCTCCTCCTCCTCCTCCTCCACATCCTCCACCATATTTCAAAGACACCTTTTTTTTCCTCTTCGATCTTATTTTGTGGTTGCTAGTATTATCCTCCTCCTCCTCTTCCTCCTCCTCCTCCTCCACCATATTTCTAAGATGCTTCTTTTTTCCTCTTCGAACTTATTTTGTGGTTGCTGCTTTTATCCTCCTCCTCCTAGACCACCACCACCACCAACACCACCACCACCGCCTCCTCCACCTCATTTCCCGGTTCCTGATTTTTCCCTCTACATCCTTATCATTTCCTTTTTGCTGCTGTTTTTTTTTCTCCTGTTCCTTCTCCTTGTCCTTCTTGTCATGTCATCGCTGCTTTTTTCCTCCTTCTCCACGACCTGCACCTGCACCTTACCCTCCTTGTTTTGTTTGCACTGCTTCTTACCTGCTCCTTGTCCTCTCCCTTTTGTTCCTTCTCCACCTCAGTTTCCTGTCGTAGCTTTTATCCTCCTCCTCCACCACCTCCACCTCCTCCTCCTCCACTATATTTCAAAGATGCTGCCTTTTTCCTCATCGACCTCATTTTGTAGTTGCTACTTTTATCCTCCTCCTCCTTCTCCTCCTCCTCCACCACCGTAATTCAAAGATGCTGCCTTTTTCCTCATCGACCTCATTTTGTAGTTGCTACTTTTATCCTCCTCCTCCACCACCACCACCACCTCCACCTCCACCATATTTCGAAGACGTTGGTTTTCTCCTCCTGCTCCTAAATTTTTGTTGCTATTTTTTCCTCCTCCTCCTCGTCTTCCTCCTTCTCCACCATATTTCAAAGATGCTTCTTTTTTCCTCATCAACCTTATTTTGTGGTTGCTAGTATTATCCTCGTCCTCCTCCACCACCACCACCTCCACTTCCTCCACCATATTCAAAGATGCTGCTTTTTTCCTCCTCGACCTCATTTTGTGGTTGCTAGTATTATCCTCCCCCTCCTCCTCCTCCTCCTCCACCACCTTCACCTCCTCCACCATATTCAAAGATGCTGCTTTTTTCCTCCTCGACCTCATTTTGTGGTTGGTACTTTTATCCTCCTCCTCCTCCTCCACCATCCCCACCACCACCTCCACCTCCACCATATTTCGAAGACGTTGGTTTTTTCCTCTTGCTCCTCATTTTTTGTATCTCTTTTTTCCTCCTCCTCCTCCTCCTCCTCCTCCTTCTCCTCGTCCTCCAACATATTCCAAAGATGCTTCTTTTTTCCTCTTCGACCTTATTTTGTAGTTGCTGCTTTTATCCTCCTCCTCCACCACCACCTCCACCTCCTCCTCCTCCACCATAATTCAAAGATGCTGCCTTTTTCCTCATCGATCTCATTTTGTAGTTGCTACTTTTATCCTCCTCCTCCACCACCACCTCCACCATATTTCGAAGACGTTGGTTTTTTCCTCTTGCTCCTAAATTTTTATTGCTGTTTTTTCCTCCTACTCCTCCTGCTCCACCTTATTTCAAAGATGCTTCTTTTTTCCTCATCGACCTTATTTTGTGGTTGCTAGTGTTATCCTCCTCCTCCTCCACCACCACCTCCACCACCACCTCCTCCATATTTCGAAGACGTTGGTTTTTTCCTCTTGCTCCTCATTTGTTGTATCTGTTTTTTTCTCCTCCTCCTTCTCCTCCTCCACCACCACCACCGCCTCCTCCACCTCATTTCCCAGTTCCTGATTTTTCCCTCTACATCCTTGTCATTTCCTTTTTGCTGCTGTTTTT